AATAACAATTTTAAAATACAAAAAAGAAATATGGCACCTAGTAACCAGGAGTTTCTGGGAAAATTACCTTTAAAAGAACTCATTACCATGTTCTGCCGTCAGGAGTGAGGGAAGAATAACAGAAAAATTCACTTGAAAGTGGGGAGACCCCCTCCACCTCCCACTGGACACCCTAGGAGAAATTTTTTTAATGCTTGTTCATTCTTAAGAAACAAAGCAGTGCTGGCCACCTTGAGAGAAGAAAGTGATCAGAGTAAATGAGATGATGCCAAGAAAGTCCTAGCATTTTTCCTGACACAAACTTGGAGCCCAATAGTATTGTTTTCATATTTATTATTCCATGCAGTAGATGCATTACAAAGAAACAAGTATTCCTTCATGGAAATCATATGTAGCATGATTTAAAATATAACTGTTCTATAATCCTTTTTCTTACTTTTTTTTTAATCTTGGGAGACAAAAGAAAGTCATAATGCAGATCTAATTCAGTTCTGAAAACTCTTAACTGTATCTGTGTTAACATATTATTGTTGTTTAGTTGCTAAGTCGTGTCTGACCCATTTTCGACCCCATGGACTGTAGCCTGCCAGGCTCCTCTGTCCATGGGATTTCCCAGGCAAAAATACTGAGTGGGTTGTTGCCATTTCCTTCTCCAGGGGATCTTCCCAACCCAGGGATTGAGCCCACATCTCCTGCATTGGCCAGTGGATTCTTTACTACTGCTCCATCAGGGGAGTTAACATATTGGGCTTCTGTGGTAGCTCAGCTGGTAAAGAATTCACCTGCAATGCAAGAGACCCCAGTTTGATTTCTGGGGCAGGAAGATCCCCTGGAGAAGGCATTGGCTACCCACTCCAGTATTTTGGCCTGGAGAAATCCATGGACAGAGGAGCCTAGTGGGCTACAGTCCATGGGGTCGCAAAGAGTTGGGCACGACTGAGCAACTTTCAACATATTAACCTCCCTCAAAAAGAAAAACAGCTGCATGCCAGCAGTATCCAGGGAAACACACGAAGCCGTCAGCAGAAGCTGGGGTCCATGGATGCTGCTGCTGTAGAGTGATTGCAACTAAACTCCATGCACAGATTTAACCCCTTCCTCAGGAAGTGAGGTCACCTAGCTGACCGACTCTGTATAAAGACATCTTCGCCAGGGCCTGAAATCCAAAAGAAGGCTGGGAGTAGCCCCCCCGTGGGCTGCCGCTGCACTGAGATAGCATGGGGGTGGTCCATCCCATCCTCCTCCCCGCCTTCCCAGCGCTGAGTTGGGCCCCGTCCTCCAGGTAGCCCAGATGTCCACATCCACAGCTCAGCAAGGAGCCTCTGAGTGTGGTCTGCTGGGGAGAGGCCAGCCCAACAAGAGAGGCACCACCTGAGGCTTCTTTGTTCCAGAGCTGTGGCCTGATCCCCCATAGACAAAACTTAAAGGAGCGTCCCCTTGCCTCTCCAGGGCGAGGCCAAGCCATTTGGTTAAAACAAGAAAAAATTCACATAAGAACGTTTGGTCAGCGTTTCACTACCAAAGTGAGCTACTATGGGTTGAAATGCCTTGACCACAAGTCCCGACACATACCTGCCCATGGCTGAGAGGGGCCTGAGTACGTGCTTCATACCCTAGAAACACAACACACTCACGACGGTCACAGTCACTACCGCTGATGGCTGCGGCTCTCTCGGTCACTGAAGTATTGGGACTGTGGGTTCTGATTCCCATATTCATTGTTCATATAATTAATTGTGTGCCTTTCTGGCTTGACAGTCACCCTGCTGGACTCCCCCTCTCAAAAGGACACTGTGTCAGATGAATCGAGTTTGGGGTGTTTGCACAGTGGGTTCTCAATTAGGACGTGAAACATGGTTTTGCTTTCCAGAGTCATCCAGGCGTGTTCCCGCGGCTCACCTTTCCAATCCCAGCCTTTTCTCGTGAACTGCTGTCAACCAAGCTGGGGGCAGGGGATGCCCTGCTTCCATTTGCTCTTTTGAGCCTTTCTGGTGTTGCATTATCATTAGTGGACCACCCAGGCTTTCATCTTCCAAAGACGAGTGAAACCTCTCTGGCCACGCACGCTCTTGGGTCAATTTATCACCTTAATGCGGTGTGAGGTTCTCTCTTTCCCACCAGCTAACACTGACTACAAGTTCCAAGTCACCCTCTGTATTGTGGCTTTTAGGGAACTGTTTGGCTCATTCACATTTCTTTGTATCTCTCCTTCCCTCCCTCCCAGATGAAAAGAAATGAATTTATAAACAGGTACATCTAAATGTGATTTCTGTTAAATCCTTGTATACAGAAATGCAATGAACGTTTCATTATATTGGTCGTCTATCTTGCCCATTTACTAACTGTGAGTATTATTTCTCACCATTTGTAGATTCTTTGGGGTTTCCTTTAACTGATGTGAAATGATTGCTTCTAACATTTCATCCTTAAGAATAATGTTCTTTGGGTTCGCAGAGCTACTCTTTGTCCACGGAAAGAGGATTCTCTTCTATTCCTAGTTTGATAAAAGAATTTAACCATATTTTAAATTTCCGTCATCTTTGTTAGGGAGTCATACATGCTTCATGTCATGAAGTCATACATATTTCTTTTCTCATAGAGGTGAACCCTGGTATTTTCTCACGTGTACATAATTTACCGAGGTCTAAAGTTAGTCCTTAACTTTCCTGGGCAACAGTGCAAAAAAATCCTAGGGCGTTTTCACTCCTGGGTCCCCATCTCCACTTTAATTTCTCTAGAACTGGGTACTTTCCCCAAATTAGACATGATAAGAGAATCAGCATTTAGTATAGTTTTTGTTTAGATGTATCTACATACATATCTATTCCTTTGCTCACCAACCCATCTGGCTCAAACTTTCTTTGTAGAATCTTCCAAATTCTACAGTTCCATTAGGGAAGGGTGCTTGGTCATTGGCTCTTTCAGTTTTTATATGAAAATATTTTTATTCCACTCTGGCTCTTGGAAGAGAGTTCTCCTGGCTCTGGATGTCCAGTGGCATCCCAGCCGCCCTTCCCCTCCCACTTCTGGACCCTCTCGTTCAGCCCGTTCACTGAGCTGTCCTGGGTCTGCTCCATATGATGCCCAGTTTGGCCCCTTTCATGGGGTGGGCCTGCAACCTGCTCCTTTCCCCCCAGCACTTTTCTATACCCCCACAAAGCACCCTTATCACAGGAGCTCTGAACAATTGCCAGGAGGGAAGGTCACAGACGTGTGAGAAGCTGGTGGGAGTCGTGGGCCCTCTTGTCGGAGAAACGTGACCCAATGAGGCTGGTGCGCTGCTGGGAGAAGCCCCTGACCCGCCTTCACCAGCTGCTCAGAGCAGGATCTGTGGACTCAGGCCTCCCCGCACCAGCAGGTTAAACTCTGAAAGAGCAGCGATGCCGATGTTGCGTAGAACGTGATACTGTTGTCCTCAGAATACATAAAGACTCCGTGAAAAGGTGGCGCGGGCCTGTTTCCATGGCAGTCAGTGTTTGTTTAGGGGAGTGGTCCCCTGGCCCCAGGATAGAGACACAAGCGTTTGGTCCCCACCTGCCCGGGATCAGTGAGGTCGGATGAGAGGGTCTCTCAGTCACAGGAGTAAGAGCTGCTTCTCTTCTGAGACCAAAGGGGAGGTGGTGAGGGGCCTGCAGGTGGTTGCAGGTGCTTCCGAGGCCCAGGGAGCATCCTTGTCTCAGAGGCTGAAGGGCTCCCAGTGAGGCGGGGCCTTGAGAAGGGGTGGGACCTTGAGAAGGAGCAGGGTCCTGAGAAGGGGTGGGGCCTTGAGAAGGGGCGGGGTCCTAAGAAGGGGTGGGGCCTTGAGAAGGGGCGGGGCCAGCCCGGGCAGCGCGGGTCCCTCAGAGGTCAGAGGCCATGAGGGGTGCCTGGGACACAGGCTGAAGGGGCCAGGAGCGTGGCAGACAGAGGTTTGTCAAATATGAGCAGAAAGAATGGTCACGTGTGGGTGACGGAGGCAAGAGACTAGAGCAGCAGTCCGCCAGGTGGGCGCTGGGTCATTTGCGTTATTGACAACGATCGCTCGCCCGGGAGATGGTGACCCCGCGCCGGCCAGCAGCCAGTGACGGGCAACCACCGATTGTCTGAGACGTGGCGCCTGGAACTCCACGCGCAGACGTCTTCACGGTTCCCCGCAGCTGGCTCCGCCGTCTCCGCCCAGCACCTCCTCTGCCTTTTGTTTTGTGTCCGAGGCAGGAGGGTAGATGAGAGCAGCGTGCACCGGCGGCCGTGGGGGGTGTCTTCTGGCCCAGACCCTTGTGGGCCTGAGCTGTGCACATCATTTAGCTGGTGGAAAACGCACTAAAGAAGGTGGATTGCCCCCGTAAGGGTGAGGAAATGAGCCTAGGATGGATGAGAACTCGTCCAGGCTCCGGTGTGTCAGCTGGTGGGGCAGGATTTTGAACATCGGGGCCCCTCTTCCTGGTCCACAAGGTGCCCCTTCAGATCACCTGGTATTTGGCTCGCTTGTCACACTGAGTCTCCCCACCGTACCTGGTCTTCTGCCCTGAAATGACAGACACCCTCGAGGCCTCCGTCTTTGCTCTGGTGTTATCTGTGGATCGGGGCCAGGGGCTTATAAGGAAATTAAATTGCACCCTGAGATGAGCAGGGTTCACTTGATTTTCAGCCCGCTGTCAATTTCAGAGCCCGGCACCGACTTACAATAGCAAGAACACGAGTTACAATACAATATCCCTGAGTCGCTTCATCTGTGCCCAGCACAGAGGTGCTGACATCACACGCTGGTTTTCCTTTTTCCTCCTCCCCTGAGCATTGATTGAAACCCAGCTAAGCCACGCTGGCTTTAGGAACCGAATCCGGACTGTTTGGAGGTGTGCGGGTTCAGATCTCCACGGCGGGGCGGCCGGTCCTGTGTGTGCCTGCGGCCCCATGCAGGCGCGATTGAACCCAAAGGCCCTTTCATGACCGGGGACTTGGCAGAGGGGCCTCGGTCTCATGAAAGCTAAACTCTTCATCCCCACCACTCTGCTGTGTTTCAGAGCAAGAAGAAAACTTTGAGTTTATCATTGTGTCCCTCACTGGCCAGACGTGGCACTTTGAAGCCACCACATACGAGGAGCGAGACGCGTGGGTCCAGGCCATTGAGAGCCAAATCCTCGCCAGCCTGCAGTCATGCGAGAGCAGCAAGAACAAGGTAAGACCCGGAGCAGCCGCCCCCAGGCCCCCAGCCCCCAAATCAGGAGCCACTGACCCTGAAAGGGAAACAGGCGGGGGCGGTGGGGGGGGGTGCATCCTGTGAGGCTGTGAGATGGCCACAGAACATTCACTTTTTCCAAGCAGAAAGGGAAATGATCACGAAGATAATAAAGCATTGTTGATGCGTATCCTTTATCATATATTAGTATCTTAGGTCAACCGGATGGCAGAGTATCCTGTTTTAAGTCTTTTCTCTCCCAGAGTCATCCCAAATGTAAACCTTTGATTGTAGAGGATGGAATATTTTGGATCCTTGTGGCTTATATGTCCACATCCGTTTTTGTTGTTTTTAGGCATAATACCCTCAGGAAAAGAAGCGCTGGTTTAAAAAGAAGCCCTGTTCCATTCTCACAAATGTCCCCCGCCCAGTTCAAATCCATCTCAGGTTAGGAAACTGTCCCTTGGTACTGGCTTCAATAAAAAGTATATGCATGTATATGAGTGTGCAGAGAGTTCAGGGAAGGTAAAAGTCTGTTTTCTAAATTCCGTTGATGAAGCCTGATATGTATCTTTATTCAATTAGCGTTAATTCCTTTGCATTTGTTTAGCCAGGAGAAATAGATTTTAACCTGCATTTTCTGAATTACTGCCCCATAATAGTCCTTATACAAAGGTCGTTTTTCTCATTTTCTTTTTCTAATCAGAATATTCCTTCAAAAATCATTATTTTTATGCTTGGATATTTTAAACCCCTTCTCTGGGACACTCACATCTTAGGGAGCATTTTTATTTTTTAGACTGTAAACAACTACAAACCAGTAGAAAGAGCATGGCCTCTCAACCTGCAATTTCATTTGTAACCATTTAAAGAAATTTCTGCCAATGACTTACGTTCAGTTTTGTCATTAAGAAGGGAGTCTGTCTTTCAGAAAGATGGAGTGTCTATTGTTATTACCCTCTTTAACCAGGGTAAACCAGACCACAGTCATTATTATTATAATGTAATTTGCCTCTCTTTTTAAGAGAAGTTTTATACTCACAGTGGGGAGAGTCGGGGCCTTTCATTTCTGAGCACCTTGGCTTTACTAAGTCCTGGCCACAGATGTGGCTTCTGAAGCAAACTCAGGATGCTTCTGAGTCTCCTGTCAGTGGGGACCAAAGATACATGTCACCCATAAAGCTCAGGAACCCAGTTTCAGGACAGGAATTGGCTGAACAGACAAAATGCTTCTCCAAATTTTGCATAAAAATCACAGTAGCTCAAGTCAGATTCTGAACCCACACCAGGTGATCGGACTCAGGAAGGTGGAGGACAGCGCTGGCCTCTTCTGGTTCACACCCTTGCCAGTCTCCTCCCATCTCCCTGCTCTGTGAACATGGCCAGCATCACCTTTGGGCCTGATGCACACACCAGCCTTGAGATGCTGCCCTTCCTCTCTCCCTGGAGGTGTGCCTTCTCAGGCAGGCACCGCTCCTGGAAGGAGGGCTCGCTGGGCACAGAGGAAGGCAGACCCGTACCCGTTTACCTTGGGCATTTGCCGACCAGGCATGCAGGTGCACAACATGGAAATAATACCCACAAGGAACAGCTGGAGGGAAAAGAATGGACTGTGAGGTATTCTAGCTGCCCGTGGATAACCAGTTAGTGGCAATCCAAGAGGTTATAAAGGTAAACAGAGGCAGTCACATGTGTGTGCGTGCGCGCACACACACACACTCACTCCAGATGCCAACAGGAATTGTTCAACACACTTTGAATATTTGGGCATCTAAGCAAAGGGAATAAAACCCTAATGATGTATTATGCTACTCTAATGGTAGCACTTAATAAATTGTAGTTAGTGATTAAGTGGTCAGGTATCAATTATTTAACAGCAAACAATTTGACATAATGATGCTTCAATTTATGAATAACTTTTACACAAACATCAAGCTTATTCCAAGTGTCCTCTGGGATATATTTGGCTTTGACCATTATATTAAAAGTGTCCATCATAAGCCTTAAAATCCTTACAAGGTACACCCTTTTACTGGCCACCTCCATTTTGAAAAATTCATCCTTAGTAAATAATCGTGAATGCGTGTAAAGTTTCAGCAGTAAACATACCCTTCACAGTGCTCTTGATAGTAGAGGAAAGCTGTGAACAGCCTGAATGCCCCTCAAAGAAAGCTTCATAAATAAGTCATCATAAGTGGAATATTATGCAGTCATTTAAAATGATGCCAGAGTTATTATGACACTTTCTCTAAGAAGTCTTCGTACCGAAAGACTGAAAATCAGTAACATCCAAAATCAAATTTTAAAATATAAAAAATGAAACATTTGAATACCCATCACATCAATAAATAAATGAATTAAAATGATGCTAGAGGTTATGTGATGCCATTGAGAGATGATGCTATGTCATTAGACAGGTTCCAAAGTAACATATACTGTGCTGGTTTTTTTTTTTTAAAGCGCTTCTCTCTATATGTATGTGCTTTTTTCAAAGGAAGGCTAGAAGAATAGATATCAAATTACTAATAAAACTTAACTCTGATAGTTTCTCATTTTTGTGTTGTTCTTTTCCCCCCTTTGTATTTTCTGACTTTCTCAGAAAGGACGGTTAAGTATGTGTTGAAGTATAAATGCCCCCAGCCACCCGCGCAGTCCTCTCCACCCACCCCCACCCCCCCCACTGCACGGTGGCCTTGTTGCTGTGACAGCTGGCCGAACCGGAAGTGGGAAGTGAGTCTCCAAGGCGCAGTGTGATGGGGGTGTGGTCTCCTGACGAGGAGCCACCAGACCTGTCTTGGGCACCGAGTCTCTCATCTGAGGCACCTCACCACATGCTGCTGACGCGTTTTCATCAGCGGGGCCCCATCCCAGAGACAGCCAGTGTGCCGGGCTCAGCCGCTCCGTCGTGTCCGACTCTTTGCAGCCCTGTGGACTGTAGCCCGCCAGGCTCCTCTGTCCATGAACCTCCCAGGCAGCAATCCTGGAGTGGGCTGCCACTTCCCCCTCCAGGGGATCTTCCTGACCCAGGGGTCGAACCCCCGCATCTCTTACATCTCCTGCATCGGCAAGCAGGTTCTTTCCCTCCAGCCCCACCTGGGAAGCCCAAAGACATCTAGAGAGGAGTCCCGTCTTTGAACCTAACCTCGTGTCATGTCTGCTCACAATCCATCGATGGTTCCCGGGTGTTACTAGCAGTCATGCACACTTAACCTCGGGGTTCTCACGGCTTCCGTTTATATGTCTCCCTCTGTGCCCAGTCCCGGCTGACCAGCCAGAGTGAGGCCATGGCCTTGCAGTCGATACGGAACATCCGTGGGAACTCCCACTGCGTGGACTGCGAGACCCAGAGTGAGTATGCGCAAGGACGGGAGGCTTCGCCCTGGACAGAGTGGGGTGGGGTGGTCGCACGCAGCCCACGCTGCTGCAGACCCATGTCTGTCATCCGGTGTATGAGGTGCATTATGTGATTTAATGGCGTGGAAGGCCTTGAAATGTTTGGACTTTAACACAGTGCCCTTCTCACAGAAGCCTCTCTGATGGCACCATAAGTATTTTTCTCTCTCTCTCTCTTTTTTTCTTTGATTACATGAAGTGTAGTTGATTTACAGTGTTGTGTTAATTTCTACAGAGTGACTCAGTTGTCCCTGTGTGTATGCTTCTGCATGTTCTTTTCCATTCTGGCTTATCACCAGTCCTGCTGATGCCTCTTGGAAACCGCATGAGCTACAGTCACAGCACACCACCAGTGCTAGGGCTTCTATCAGCTGCCCACATTCTGTGCCGTATCCAACACCCAGGGGACACCCCGTGCAGACTTGGTACAGAAAGTGGGCCAGACCGGAGGTGGGGAGGGAGGCGCTGGGAGTCAGGGCGGCAGCAGGACGCACGGCTGGGTGGCTCTGGTTTGTTCAGGGAGAGGCCAACTGCTGCTCAGATGGGATTGGGGTGACTTAACAGAAAGAACTGAGGACTGTCACACATCAAAGAGAAGGGGGGAGCCCGCCTGGGAGAGAGACCACCCCAGCTGGTGGGGCAGCTAAGACCAGGACGGTGAGGCCAAGTCTGTGGCCTCCTTGAGACAGAAGAGATCTCTTCTGCACGTTCCTGGAGGGACTTCTTTAAAGCACCTTCTTTTGTTTAAAATTTTAAATTTTACTTTCAAGCCACGTCATGCCATGAAGTTAGAAGAGAAGTCATCACGTGGAGTATGTTCTTATCTGAGTACTCTCAGAACCTCCATGGGGAGACATGTCCGTGATGGTTTCCACCACCATCTGGAAGACCCCCTTTAAAGGGAATATTCCGTAGCTCACCGGCTTCACGGTGTGTGGCCAGTTGGAGGGCGAGAGAGTTTTCTGGGAGTGGGCCGGGCGGGCGAGTGCCCAGTCTGGGGAGGGTGAGTGGGAAAGGGAGACTGGTTCAGGGGAGGCTCCGGGGCCCGTTTGTTTAGAGTGAGACCACGTTTGACAAATGTGGAGAGAAGAGCGATCCTAAGCTTCCATTTCTAAAATGACGTTATCTCTCAGGTCTGTGTCCAGTCCTTCCAGGCACGGTCTCTCTTAATTCTTGTGACTAATTGTTGGCACTGCAGTGGGTCCCACTCCTAGAGGGACATGAACAGTCTGAAGGGTCAAGTTAGACATCCTAGGTCACCAAAAGAGCCAGTCACGGAGCAGGATTTAATCTAAGACCGTGCTGTGTTTTCTCAGAAGACACGGGGAAGACAGAAGGACTGAGGTCAAGGGCATGAGAGATGACACACTGGCAAAGCCATTTGGCTTTTTATGTGTTATCATTATTATTATATTTGCAGGCATTCGTTTCTTTTTCCCCAACCAAGACCATCTCTGAGGTCACAGACCCCTCTTCTCATGTGTCCCCCCCTTCTCCTGCCACCCCATGATCTCCTCCACCTGCTTCCTGCCTTGCTATGTTAAATGTTAAACAAATGGCTGGCTGATTTCTGTTGAATTAGCGTGAAGTCACTCCTGGTCATTTGCCATTTATAGAATGATTCCAAATAAATATGATGTCAGTTACCTGATTTTTTTGTTGACTCTTCAAGTCTACCTGGAGTAAGGTATTGATTATTCCTGGATGATTTAAGCCTTATTTGCTTCTGTCAGTGGTGAAAGCCGTTGACAGTCAAGGTCAGCCCCCTCTTTGGAAATCAGCTAGTGATTCTAGCATGAAGCCGGCCCTAAGCCTGAGTCCTCAGGCTTCTGACCAGGTCAGCGGTTCCATACCAGGCTCCCCAGGGCTGTTCCCTGGACTTATGTGATGTCTGTGTGCAGTGTCACAGCCCAAAGCCTGTTCTGATTTGTTCTGCAAGTTGGGGTTGACTGTGCTGAGCCGAAACCTAACCATCTTGCCAACAGTGAAGGATGGAGAAATGGGAAGTGCTTGGCTGGTTATCCCTAGATAAGATCACTGAGAGTCAGACTTTCTCATTGTGGTGTGCCTCGCTTTCATCTTTGAAATTTGCAAGCATGCCCACCGTGTCACTAAGAACATTGATGTGCCCCTGATGCAGGAGGGTGCCGGGGGCATTGTAGCTTTGGGAATGACCAGCTATCCCTCTCTTTCCTTCTCTTTCCCTGCATCAGCAGCCATCCCACAAGAGACACCAGGTCATGCCTCATTTCGTTTCCCTGTGCGTCTGCTTGCTCAAGGGGTTTGCCCACTGGGTGTGTTAGTCGTTGAGTCGTGTCTGACGCTCTGCGACCCCTGGACTGTAGCCCACGAAGCTCCTCTGTCCATGGGATTCTCCAGGCAAGGATACTGGAGTGGGTTGCCATTTCCTTCTCCAGGGGATCCTCCCGACCCAGGGATTGAACCTGGGTCTCCTACACTGTAGGCTGGTTCTTTACCATCTGAGCCACCAGGAAAGCCTGTGGAAGTACCCAAACGTGCATTTTTCTCTCCAAACCAATGCTTTCAGTTGTATATCGTGTGGGAAATTCTAAGGCTTTGGCCAGAGCCTTAGATGTTTAAAAGTTGCCGCCATCACATCAGACCTCCTGAGATGCCTAAGATAGTTGCAGGTGGTGTCCAAGGGAGCATGTTTAAGGCCCTGACTCCGAGGAGGGACTGCTGAAGTGGGAAGTCTGGTTAGCCATTTCGTTCTTGAGATCCAAGGGCCTTGGGAGTGAATGATGACCGTCCGATCACATCTGGCATCCCCTTTCTCCCCCCGCAGATCCCAACTGGGCCAGTCTGAACTTGGGAGCCCTCATGTGTATCGAGTGCTCAGGGATCCACCGGAATCTCGGCACCCACCTCTCTCGAGTCCGGTCTCTGGACCTCGACGACTGGCCCATTGAGCTCATCAAGGTGATGTCGTCCATCGGGAACGAGCTGGCCAACAGCGTCTGGGAGGAGAGCACCCAGGGGCGGACGAAGCCCTCGCTGGACTCCACAAGGTAGGGGTGCGGGGAGGCGGGTGCTCACGCGGCTTACTGCTCAACAGAACCGGGAGTGACCTTAGCGACAGCCACCACGAGAACCGCCCCGGCCACCCGTGGGAAGGCCGATAACCCAGCCCGAAATGTCTGTGTTTAAAATCGGTCTTCCGCAGGCACAGATAATTCAAGCTCCTTAATTTTTTACGTTTATTTTTACACTTTGGGGATTCCTCTCCCTCTCTTAGAGACGTATTAAGCTTCTAACCTGATGAATATATCACTTTAATTAATACATTTCTAATAGGCATAAGCTGTGCTGTTAACACTAATTACAGAATTTGGGATTCTTTGGATTTTGTTATTCTTATGTCTTTAAGAAGCATCTATTCCATTGGCTCCACTCCCCTCTGACCTCTCACGAAGTGAGTTGATAGTAACCAAACATATTTTATTTTCCAAACTATATCCCTAACACATTTAATCAACCAAGCACAGCACACGTAACATGCGGTGGCTCCTCATTAGTGTTAATTGTTACCCAGTGTAAAAAAACGCATTTATTTTGAGGCCATTCTGTCTCTCATTTTTCATTTGCAGCAATTATAAGCCGTTTTTGAGTATACATGCATATTTAATGTACCTAAGAGGTGATAAAATGACGTGTCTTCTGAGAAAGCCTCTTTCACGGAGGCAGGGTGGACTGTCCCATCTCCGAGGCTGTTCTGAGCGGGCGTGTTCCGGCGTCGGAAGCAGAAGTGTGGTGGGCGGGCACAGCCTTCATGTCTCAGGTGTGTGCACGGTGAAGGGGGACGCTGGGTCTCCCAGCACCAGTGCTCATGTGTTTTGCCGGTGATCAGACAAGGAAACCTGGGTGTCCGTCTGTGGGTGGGCTGCACACAAGGGTAAGAAGTCGGTCTCTACCGATAAGCAGTGATGATGTGGCAGGTTGGTGGGCTTCATCAATGCTGAAAAATGAATTTGGGGTGCCCCCTTTGGTTCACTTGAGAGAATGAAGCCGGTGTCATTAACCCTACTCTTCATATTAGATGCTCTGTGGAGAGCGGGTAGGGGTCCTTGAAAGGTGCATGACATCTCTCTGTTTAAAACCTCTCAGCTCAGTGCTGTGAGCTCCTACATAAGTTATGTCGTGTAATATGCCCTGTGGGCAACTGTCCTACAAACTGAAGAAGTGATACACTTTATAGTTTTTAGACTTTGATATAATGCTAATATGGAAATCTACTGGTTCATCCACTAGGGGCACTCTTCAAAGATTAGTTCATGTTTTAATATGTATTTTTTCATACATGTAGTTTCCCTAGAGGGTAATTAGATCCGAAAAAGAAAAATGATTGAAAATTGGATTGAGCTTAATGTGTGAATGCAGAAAATGTTGAAGTAAATTGGGAAAAGATTAACTTTATACATCTTACTGTTTGTGTGTAAAAGGAGCATATGCACTATTTTTAATACCATGAATTAGAAGAGTTCGTCTTTCCATCTGTCATAACTAGAAACTGCTTGGAATGATTAGAAACAAAGATGTAGGTTAAGTTTTTAACTGGGAAATATTTCTTAATAGTTTCGTCTTCATAAATGAAGACTGTATGTAAGAGTATTTTATTCTGTCTTGAGTGTTTTAGTTAAGTTCCTGAGTGTATGACTTCCCCTTCTGTGCAAGATTATACGTATTGTATCTTTACAGCTTACGGACATTTGAGTCTTCCCTTCTCATAAGTGGAGTCGTTGTCATGAACTTCCTATGGTGAGGATGGTATGGTTATGTGGTCTTGCCCAGCGTAACTTCGGAGTTTCTAAATTCTGTTCAACTCTTAAGAAGATAAAGCATGTTTGAGAATTGACTGTGCCTTTGGTAATTGGAGTTGTAGTTTTTATTAAACTCAGCAAATACTCATCGAGTGCTTTCTCATAGAACAGAAGTGGTCGCCAGGTGATGACCTTAGGTCTGCAGTGATTGGTTTATGGGCTCAGAGCCAGCCAAGGATGCCAGGACCCAGCGGCATTCATAGACGGGAGGGGTCTATGGTCTCAGGGAAGTTCAGGAGAAATGTCTTCTGAGCTGGGCTTGGAACCATGGGGTGATTCTCCAGGCGTAGTGGTGTGGGGAGCATGTGGTGGAGGCTTAGGCAAAGACAGGAATGCCAAAGGAAGCCTGGGGCCCCCTGGGGAGGTGGAGCCATGGATATAGTGAGGGATGGGGAAGGGCAAGGCCATGGAGCAAAGACCTCGTGAGCCAGGGGCAGTGCTTTGACAGCAACTCTGGGGGTGGCTGGGCTTCCCTGGTGGCTCAGCTGGTAAAGAATCCACCTGCAAGGCAGTAGACCTGGGTTCGATCCCTGGGTTGGGAAGATTCCCCTGGAGGAAGGGAAAGGCCACCCACTCCACTATTCTGGCCTGGAGAATTCCATGGACTGTATAGTCCATGGGGTCGCAAAGAGTCGGACATGACTGAGCGGCTTTCACTCTCACTGGGGGTGGGCAGAGGGTGGGCTGTTGGGGCTGTTCATGTGTTCGTGGATGTCCCACCTGTTCCCCGGAGGACCAGAGGCAGCCAGCAGCATCGTAGGAAGAGGTGGAGACAGGCAAGGAGGCCCGTCTGAAGGTGGTGGTCCTGGTGGGACAGAGGGAGAGCCTCAGATACACTCAGAAACCACTCAACATAATCGCATCATGAAAACCCAGACCCCCACCTCCTCCGCTACCTCCTGCATTCTCCTCAAACAGAAAGGAAAATGAAAAAGTTTGGCCTGGAATCTCCGCGTGGAATTTCATCTACGATGTGAGAAGCAATGCCTGGCCTGGTCCCTGCCTCCCCAAGACCAGGAGAGATACGCCCCCCACCCGTCCCACCTCGCTGTCTCCGCAAAAGCGGTGCTTGCTAGCACAAACAGCTGGAGGGCTCGCTAATGTGGCCCTAAGGTAATACTAAAAAGAAATATTTTAATAAATTTTTATCTCCATCTGAGGAAAAGCCAAGTGCAATATATCCAGTCTAATTCTTTGAAAAGGGGCCCAGCTGTTTTCCCGAGAAGCTCCGTCCATTCTGTCTTGTTCAGAAGATTCATTCTGACAGTGGCATATAATTAGAAATGTGTTCTTCCTCCCCCAGCACGCACGCGTGCACGCGCGCACAGACACACACACACACGCTCAGGAGCATAGGCGAGTAGAACACAGCAGATCCTACACACACACACACACACACACACACACATACACTCAGGACAGTGGGGAAGTAGAACACGGCAGATCCTTCACACACACACCGACTCAGAACCATGGGGAAGTAGAACATGGCAGACCCTTCTCCAAGAAAAAGACCTGAAGCCACCTCTCACGGTGTCGCCCAGGCCTGCAGGTGACACAGGACGCAGGGAAGCGGGGTCCTCTGACCAGCCGTCTGTCCCCTGCACCCTGATTAGGGCAGCTTCGGGCTGCTCATAATTGGTTCCAGCGATTCTCAGCTGCCCCGAGAACTGCCGTTCAAACTTGAACAGCACGGAGATCAATCGAAGCTGACGGTGGCAAAGGCGTATTGACTTCCCATTCCTAAACCGGGGGATCATTAGTCAAGAAAAGCATCTTTTAATTACTCCCAGGAAGAAAAAAAAAATCTTTTTTTGGATGGATTCTGCAACAACTGCCATTTTTTTTTCCCGGTGCATTCGATATTAAATTTATTGTCGTGGGAGGGGAGAGGGTGCCCTTCATCCCACTGTGATGGAGGTTTAATTTGGAGAAAGGAGCTGGTTAGAGATCGATGTGGTAACAATTAACTACATCTGGGGTGGAATCAGAATTCCCCTCTAATTGCTATTGATACCATTTAAGCACACACTTAAAATATTGATTGTAAATGGGACTGCAGAGGTAGAGGCGAGGTGGGAACAGAGAGAACTAGCGTTAGGGGCTTATGGAGGGGCGGTCTGCTGTGTGCAGGCCGGTCAGCACCTGAGTGTGTGGTTGCCCCTGACGGTACGTTGTCTTGTGGACACCCGCAGGGCCTGGAGCAACCAGGCAAGGCTCCAGTACCCGTGTCAGGACACGATTCGGAGGTAAAGATACTAAAACAGTCACGTGCATCTTTCTGGAGTGGATAAGTGAGACAGAAAACTGCCTAGCTTGGAATACACATGTCAGAGGGTCTTGCAGGCTCGGAGCCCATCGTGGGTTTGTGAGCAAGATTCCCGGCACACAATGAAACTGTCTCAACAAGCCTCTGTGTGCGTCCTCTCACTCTCAGCCCCGCGCTGGTGTTCTCTGGGGTCAGTCTGCATCACTGAAGGCAGGTCCTTCTTCTCGTTCCCATCCCCCTTGCACTTTAGAAGCTTTTTTGATTGACTTGCAGGGAAAAGAATGTCCTACCATGGCCGATCAGAGCCCTCCGGAGCCACATTCCTCTTGGCAGCAGCTGAACTCTGCTGGGCTCAGCGGCTCTCTCTCTTCATCTCCCATCTTTGTGTCTGCAGGTGGCGGGCTTCGGCCAAAGCCCGGGAGGGTGTGCAGGGACCAGTTGCTGTTTGCATTTCACGGCAGGTAGCCTGTTTACAAGGTGCTTTGGGGGCCTGCCGGTTTGGTCTAGGAAATCAAAGGAACCTGGAAGTGGAGAGCTTGCGTTTTCAATTCCATGAAAGAGCCCTTGGGAAAAGCTCTGAGCCCAACTGAAATCATCCGCCATCTCTTTGATCCCACTCGGAAGGGAACCAGCTTGCCGATGGGTGTGCATTCCCTTCCCTCTGAGCATCCTTTCTCTGGGTTCCGTCATTTGTCAGTTCACCTGGGCCCCTAGGCGCCCCTCTTGTCTTTAACCCTTAGAGGCTGTCAGCCCCGGAGGAGGACGTGGGGCCGGACGTCGGGAATCTGCGTGGGAGAGACTGCACACTCGCAGGCCGAGCGGGTCCACCCGGTGATCCGAGTTCCGTGTCCTTTTGATTTCTGAACGCCACTTTCATCTTATTTATGCACATGGAGATATTGATAAAGGGGAAATGTATCCA